AATTTCTTAGTAGGGCTGTTTCCACAGGCATTCTTTAAAGCATCAAAACTACGAGTATCACTGGCGGCCCGAAATTTCGCCTTCCCCCATTTCCCGGCCGGCGGCCGTAGCACGGGCAAATCTATCTTCCTTATAGATTTTTCCCGATTATCTTCCATTTTTCATTCCTGAGATACTACTATCCGGCCACGAATGGGGAAGAAAAAGCAGAAACTGATACTGCCGCCGGAGCTTCCTCCGGAGATTCCCGATGAAGAAATCGAAGTTTCCGACGAGGACTTGAATTTCGTTAAGGAGAACGTAGACTACGTTGGTTTTGTTTCCAATCTTGATACTCAGTCCATCACCAAGTACGCATTTTTTTTTTCGGGTTTTATGATTTATATTTCCACGTTCACGTAATTTGGAAGCAGTTATTTGCTCAAACTCAATGCTTATATTAAAAAAAAAAATGGAAAAAATAGGCATGTTACACGAGTGGCCGATGCGAATGAGGGGGCTTTGGAAGCTCTGTACGAGAAAAAATTGAGAAAGAAGTTGGAAAATAAAGAGAAAGAGTCGACTGCACTGGAAGTCGATCCCGTTGATGCCCTTCCCGTGAAGACTTTGGATGGGCAACTTTACTATAGAAGAGGTATTTTTTCTTAATCTCCTGGGTTGAGGCCTGTTTAGATTGCCATATCTAAGTTGTTTTTCTGACAGTGGCAAAGGAGCCCAAGGAGAATGAAGAGGAAGCAAAAGAAGGTGAATCTATTACTAAAGATCCTTCTGTGGTGAAGTTAACAAAAGCAGAAAAACGTGCGAAACAAAAGAAATTGAGAAAAGAGGCAAAGAAACAAGCAAAGGAGGAAGTGCAGCAAACGCCTCAGGCGGAAGTGCTGGTGTGTGTTTCTTTTGCTCAGCCTTTTGACTTTGATGTCATGCGGTGATTCAGTTTTTATGTAATGGTGCACCATCCAAATATGCAATTTACAGAGCAAAATGCCCCTTTTTTTCCCCCCAAAATGGACAAGCAAGACATTGTTGAAATACTAAGATTTTAGGATGTTTGACAAGCATTTACATTTTATTTGAACTGAAATCTAAGAAAAACACCATCTTTAGATTTTTGTCTTCATCTAAGTCGAAGGCGTAAAATGTTTTGGCATACCTCTCTAATTATTTTCTTTAGTCATACATTTTACTGTTGGTGACATGTGTTCATCTTATCTTGGTATTGCATCTCTTTTACGTCGTCTCTTACGTTCAGTTGATTAAAGATAATTTTGAGATATATGATCTTGTTTTGTTAAGATTTTAATGGATTTGACCATCAAGTTTGTTATTTGTTATTACTTCAGATAAACGGGTGTGCTGGTTATTTTAAAAGGTCTTAGCATTGTAAAACTAAGTATTTACCAATTTAAATGCCCAATAATAATCGTACAGTAACCGTAACAGATCAGGCAAGTTTTATATGAAATCCTTGTACAATTTATGATCTCATTACTCTGCCCACTTGTTTAGGATGAAGTGAAAAAAGACCTGACAGAAGAAGAAGCCAAGGAGAAGAAGAAGTATAAACTTGCTGAGTTGGGAACTTCACTACTTGCTGATCCTGAATCCAATATCAAGAATATAAAGGAGATGCTGGAGATTTCAAAAGATGGAGATAGTTCCATCGTCATACTGGGCCTCAAATCCTTATTGGCTGTTTTTAAAGACATCATTCCCGGGTAAGGATGTCGGTTACTTGACAATCTGGAAGGCATTTGGATTTTATTTGTTTTCTGTAATATGTTTTTTTTTTTTTTTAAT